CATTTCTAATTGAGCTTATTTGAATTTTTTATCTTCTTGGTTAATCTAGCTAATGGTGTATAGATTTTGTGTGTCTTTTTCAAATAACTGGCTCTTTGTCTCTTTGACCTTCTGTGTATGTATATGTGTATGTGTGTGTATTTATGTACCCATATGTGTGTGTGTGTGTGTCTATATATATATGTACAACTTTGTTTTTATTTTATTTTTTGAGGCAATCTTGCTTTGTTTCTCAGGCTGGAATGCAGTGGCACAGTCTCTTCTTACTGCAGCCTCTGCCTCCTGGGCTCAAGTAATCTTCCCACCTCAGTCTCTGGAGAAGTTAGGACCACAGGTATACACCACTATGCCTGGCTAATTTGCGTGTGGTGTTTTTTTGTTTTTTTTTTTGGTAGAGATAGGGTCTTACCATGTTGCTCAGGCTGCTCTTGAACTCCCAAGCAATCCCCTTGCCCTGGCCTCCTAAAGTGCTGGAATTATAAGCATGCGCCACTGTACCTGGCCTATTGTTTTTGTTTGTTTCAATTTCAGTTAATTTTGCTCTCAACTTTGTTATTTCTTTTATTCCACTAACTTTGGGTTTGCTCTTATTTCTCTAGTTCCTTGAGTTATGACATTACGTTATCAATTTGTGATCTTTCAGACTTTCTGATGTAGCAATTTAGTGCTATACACTTTTCTCTCAGCACTGCTTTGCTGTATCTCAGATGCTTTGATAACTGATGTCACTATTATCATTCATTTCAAATAATTTTAGTATTTCCATCTTGACTTTGTTCTAAACCCAAAAATCATTTAGGAGCAGACTGTTTAATTTCCATGCATTTGTATAGTTTTTAGGGTTCCTTTAGGAGTTGATTTCTAGTTTTATTCCACTGTGGTCTAAGATACTTGATATGATTTTGATTTTTAAAAATTTATTGAGACTTGTATTGTGGCCTATCATATGGTCTATTTTGCAGAATGTTCCATGTGCTGATGAGAAGAATGTATATTCTGCAGTTCTTGGGTAGAGTGTTTTGTAAATATCTGCTGGGTTCATTTGTTCCAGAGTGTGGTTTAAGTCCAGTGTTTTCTTGATTTTCTGCCCCAATGATCTGTCCAGTGCTGTCAGTAGAGTGTTGAAGTCCTCACTATTATTGTGTTGCTATCTCTTTTCTTAGGTCTAGTAGCAATTGGTTTATGAATCTGGGGGCTCTAGAGTTAGGTGTATATATATTTAGTATTGCAATATCTTCTTGTCAAATAGATTCTTTAATCATTGTATAATGACCTTCTTTGTGTTTTTTTTTAACTGGTGTTGCTTTAAAATATGTTTTATCTGACATAAAAATAGCTACTCCTGCTCACTTTTGGTTTCCACTTGTGTGAAATATCTTTTTCCAATCTTTTACCTTGAGTCTATAAGACTACCTATGTGTTAGGTGAATCTCTTCAAGACAGCAGATATTTGGTTTGTGAATTATTATCCATTCTGCCAATCTTCATCTTTTAAGTGAGCATTTAGACCATTTACATTCAATATTAATATTGAGATATAAGGTGCTATTCCAGTCATCATGTTGATTATTACCTAGTACTCTGTTTTCTTCACTGTGCTACTGTTTTATAGGCCATGTGAGTTTTATGCTTTCAAGATGTTCTATTCTGGTGCATATCAACTTTTTGTTTCAAGATTTAGAAGTCCTTTTACCATATGTTGTAGGGCTGATCTGGTAGTGTCAAATTCCTTCAGCATTTACTTGTCTGAAAAAGGCTTTATTTCTTCTTCATTTATGAAACGTGGTATTGCTGGAATCAAAATTCTTGGCTGACACTTACTATGTTTAAGGTGGTTGAAGATGGGACCCCAATCCCTTCTGGCATGTGAGGTTTCTGCTGAGCGCCAGATTACTTTACTGTAGTCCTTCTAAAGGATATAGATGGTATCTCTAGCCCTCATAGCGGATGTTGATGGTATCTCACTGTAGTGGTAACTAATGATAAGCAACTTTCATGTTCTTCTTGACTATTTTTTTATCTTTTTTGTGAAGTGTGTAAGTCCTCTGGTCATTTTAAAAACAACTTTATTGAGGTGTAATTTACATAACAATTCATCTGTTTAAGTATACAGTTCAATGATTTTTAATAATTTACTGAGTTGTACAACTATCACCACAATCCAGTTTTAAAATGTCTTCATTACTCCAATAAGAGTCCTCATGCTGCTTACAGTTAATTTCTATTTTTATCCTTAGTCCAAGGCAACCACTAACCTATTTTCTATTGCCACAGATTTGCCTATTTTGGACATTTCATACAAAGAGAACCAAACAATATCTGGCCTATTATGTCTAACTTCTTCACTTGGCACATTTTTGAGGTTTGAACATAGAGTATTCTGCTCCTTTTTATTGCTGAATAGTATTCCATTGTAGTGTTATACCACATTTTATTTATCCACTCATTGGTTAATGGACAATTGGGTTGTTTCCACTTTTTGGCTATTATGAATAGTGCTGCTATGAATATTTGCATGCAAGTCTTTATGAGGACTTTTATTTTCATTCCTCTTGGGTAGATACCTAGGAGTAAAATTACTAGGTCATACAGTAAATTTATATTTAACCTTTTAAGAGGCTGCCAAACTCTTCTCCAAAGTGGCTATACTATTTTCCAATGGCACAGCAATGTAAAAGGGTTACTGTTTCTCCCTATCCTTCCCAAAATTAGTTATCTGGTTTTTTTTAATTGTTATTGTTATAGTCATTCTAGTGGGTGTAAAGCAGTAGATCACTGTGGTTTTAATATGCAAAACACTAACGACTAATAATTTTTAATATCTTTTCATGTTTTATGGATTATTTGTATATTTTCTTTGATGAAATGCTCATTAAAATATTTTGCCCATTTTAAAATTTGGCAATATTATTGAGTAGTAAAGAGTTCTTATAGATTGTGAATTTAATTCTTTTGGCAAATACATATTGCAAAGTCTGTGACTTTGTCTATTTATTTTTCAATGGTATCTTCTGAGGAATAGAAATTTAAAATTTCTATTACATGGAAAATATTAATTTTTTCTTCTATGGTTCATACTTTTTGTGGCCTGTATAAGAAATCTTTGCCAATTCTGACGTCATGAAGATACTCTACTATATTTTCTTCCAAAAGCTTTATGTTCTAGCTTTTATAGTTAAGTCTTTGATCATCTAAAATTAACTGTTTGTATGAAGTGAGGTATAGTTGAGATCCATTTTTCCATATCAATATCCAGTAGTTCTCTGGCATCGTTTGTTAAAAACACTTTTCCTTTCCTCATTGAATTGAGTTGGCACCTTGGTTGAAAATCAAGTGACTACATACATGTGCATTGATTTCTAGAGTCTCTATTTTGTTTTACTGATCTATTTATCTATCCTTATGTCAGTACCAAACTGTCTTTATCACTGTAGCTCTAAAATAAGTTTTCAAATCTGGTACCCTATGTCCTCCAACTTTGTCTTTTTTGTAAGGTTGTTTGGCTAATGAACACTATATATATTGTCTATTACTATTATTATCATCATTATTTTGAGAAAGGGTCTCACTCTGTCACCCAGGCTCGAGTGCAGTGGTGTGATCACAGCTCACTGCAGCCTCAACCTCCTGGGCTCAAGTGATCCTCTCACCTCAGCCTCCCAAGTAGCTGGGAGTACAGGTGCATGCTACCAGCCCCAGCAAGTTTTTGCATTTTTAGGAGAGACAGAGTTTCACCCTGTCATCAGGCTAGTCTTGAACCCCTGGGCTCAAGCGATCACATCCACATTGGCTGTAATTACAGACATGAGCCACCATGCCCACCCTCTTGTCAATTATTTTAAGTCTTCCTTAATGTCTTCCAATTATGTTTTGTAGTTTTTAGTGTTGAGAACTTGCACATCGTTCAGAAGATTAGTTCCAACTTATCTAACATTTTTCGATGCTGTTGTAGAGAGAATTTTAAACAATTCCTTTTCCTGATTGCTTCTTCCTAGAAAACTCTAAACATTATATTATAATTATGCTGCACAACTATGTGGAAATTCTATTTATTTTTATAGATTGGACTTCAATACAAGGAGGACTACTGTGAACCTCATTTTAAGCCACTTATTTTTAAAAACCAATTAATACATACTTTCTGATTAGTAATATAAAACAAATGCAAATTTTATTCATTTGCAAAGGTGAAGATACAGCAAACAATTTTGGATGAAGTAAATTCTATACTTATTTACAAAACTCTACTCTTTTAAAAAATTTGTTTATTTATTATTTTTTAGAGATGCGGTCTCACACTCTTGCCCAGACTGGAGTGCAGTGGCATGATCACAGCTCACTGTGATCTCAAACTCCTAGGCTCAAGCAATCTTCCCATTTCAGATACCCATATAGCTAGGACTAGAGGTATGTGCCACCATACTCAGCTCAAAACTATAATGTTAAATATAATCTATAATATATAAGACAGGTAAGTGCTATTATCTGATGATTCTTAGAGAAATAATTTTTCCTTTAAGCAGTAAAAAGTAAATGCGTATACATGTGGGGACCTATATTAAAGACTTCCATTGAATTTCTACTGCTGCTATAAATGGCTAAGGAATAGCTATAGCTATAGATACTTGCAAATCTATTGTAATGTATACTAAATATACTCAAAAAATTTCAAAAGACATGATAAACCTACCTTATGGTTAAGGATGTGCCTAATTTTGAATATTTATTTAGATTTTTAAAAGTCTGTCTTCAGGACAGATGTCAACAAAAGGACAAATGTATTTTACTGGTTTTTTTTAGAGTTATGTAATCCTCAAAAAGAAATCTCTCATAAAATTAGATGTAATGACATAATTAGTTGGTTATGGTATCTACCTACTGCTATTGTGCTTGTGTACATTACTGTTTGTTTAGGGTTTTGGAAAACTCATTATCTGAGCAAGAAGAGCAAGAAAGGATTAAAAGAATAAGTATGACAGAAAAAGTGCATGAATCTCTACCTCCATCTTCACAGTCTTCAGGGGCTTTGGCTTTCTTACAAAGACGAGGATCCAACCAGGTGGTTGTCTTGGTATTGTGGCTGTAGAATAAAGATTTTAATTAGAAACAGTAAAATAAAGGAGGAGAAAATTATTTCAAAAGTAAAGATTAAAAGTGACTAAAAGGTATATGATGTTTGAACACTAATCTCCTACAGCTCCATTTGCACAGCTCAGATTCATTCATTAACCCTATTGTTCTCAGTCTACTTCAAAATTTCCACAAAGGAATGGTAACGCTAGAGGCACTAACTTAAGAATCGAACTTTGAAGAAGGCCTAAAATGCCACGAATGGAATAACAGACACTATTTAAGTAGTTAAAAATGTTTCCAAAGGTGGGTGCATAGCCACATACTGTGCATTAACTAGCCAAAAGTACTACACTGAAAACCTTGTTTGCTCAGTGGCTAAACTCCTTCCTCCTTCCCTTCAAAAACTACTATATTTCTTGCCTGCCTGTAATATGTAGGTAGGATGTTGGGAGCTGGAATATAAAAATAAATGAACAATTAGGTAGAGCCCCTGCCCTCAGGGACTTTTTAAAATAAAATAGAATAAAATAAAACAAAGAGTTTCAAGTGGCTGTTGCTGCTACATGCAAGTAAAAGCAACAGGTATAGTTAAACTCCACTCTGTAAAACTAAGTTTTCATCAGCATGGTCCACACTGGAAAAAAGGAAAGGATAAAAATATCCTGTCCTCTGACTCATTTCATGAAATAGGCCAAAGATGACTTTAGAGAGCAGTATTTGTTTAATTTCATTATATGTCATAGTCAGTTACCTTCAGACCAGGTCATCATGCATCCCGATACTAATACCCAAGCAAAACTATCTCATTGCTTAGTGGACAGTGTTAATTTAAATACCTTAAATACAAGAATATTAAAGAAAGAAAAAGTCATGGAAGAAAACACATAGGAAGGGAATAAAATGTAAATTAAAGTTATTACTGTTATTACTATCATGATTTTGACACAGAGTCTTGCTCAATTGCCCAGGTGCAGTGGCATGATCACAGCTCAGTGCAGCCTTGACCTCCTGGACTCAAGTGAACCTCCTGCTTCAGCTTCCCAAGTAACTGTGACTACAGGTGTGCACCACGATACCCAACAACTTAAAAACTTTTTATTTGTAGAGACAGGGCCTTGCTATGTTGCCTAGGCTGGTTTTGAACTCCTGGGCTCAAGTGATTCTCCTGCCTAAAGTTATTATTGGCGTACCATGTCATACTTAACTGAAGTAATTAACTGTTATTAATTAGCAACAATGAATGTAAACAAGTTATCTTTCCTGAGTGTGTTTAACACGAGATAAACTCACTAATTTCTGCCTTGACCTTAGATAGGTCACTCTTAGAAAATGAAGCCAAAAGGTTTCAGGGAATTAATAACATCTTCTATACCTTTTCTAACCCCTCAGGTACTTGTAGAGCTATATAGCCATTGCTTGGTATAATACTGGTTGGTAGAATGTGATAGAAACACTTCTTTTATATGCTGGATAATAGCTAATTTCTGTAGGAAAAAGTGGGATTGTTTCTAGAAAGTCTATATTACTCATTCTATTAGAGAAATAATCTCCCCAAATTTGAATTTTCTTTTTGCTAAAAAAACTTTTTAGAAAATGAAAGGGATGAGAACTCAGGGGCCTAGGAGCCACACAGATTATTAGGGAAACAATAACAACAACAACGCGAAATACCTTGCTAAACCAAACTAAAAACTGCTACTTGAGAAAAGCTTAACTTAGGTTCCTGTGATCCAAAATTTTATTGCTAAATTAGCAGATGTAGACAATTCGCTAAAATTTTACCCAACATTTTCCAAGGAGAAGACATATCCATAGGGGCTATTCCCAAAACATAAGAACTAAAGTCTAAAGACCTATATGAATATTCTTTTCTTACAGCTGGATTTTTCAACAGTAGCAGTAGTACAGATCAACCATGTTATACCAAACAAAACAGTTTTATCTAGCAGCAAATATTTAACTATATTCTACACATTAACCCTTTATAATATATGTTTTAGAAATATTTTCTCCTATTCTATATATTGCTTCTTCACTCTGTCGATTGCTTTGCTATGCAGAAGTTTTAAAGTTTGTTGTTGTCCCTTTTTCTCTACTTTTGCTTTTGTTGCCTGTGCTTTTGGTATCATATCTAAGAAGTCCTTGACAAATCCAATGTGATAAAACTTTTTCCTTATGTTTTCTTCCTTTTTATAATTTCAGGTCTTACGTTTAGATCTTTAATCTATTTAAATATATTTAACTATAAAAACATTTCTTTTAATAATTATTCTCCCCCTTTAATTTACTAACTTACTCCTGTTTGCAGGGTGAAGTACTGTTAGATTCAATCTCATAATCTGTTTTTAAAGATATTTTAGCTACTTCTAATGACTCTACACCTTATTTTCGGGTTTAGTTCTAAAGTCAGCATGAAAGTCAAAAGTGTAAATTGCCCTTAATAAGCCCCTGAAGGTTGTCAATAAAGAAGAATATACGACCTGATTGTACCTGTTTTATATAATTGTGGTAATGAATGTTTATATAAATGTATAACCTCATCAATAACGTGCCATATACAGAACTACTATATAAAAACTAGAATCCTATTTGGTATAGCAAGATGCTCACTCTTTTGGAAGGCTATGGAATTGGGACCATCTGAGGAAACAGATTCAAGTCCCCCACTCCAAATTCATTTGTAAGTATATGTTCTTTGAGTGTAATGCCCAGTGCCAAATATTTTAACTGTTGTTAATTGTTATATTCTGTAACTGTACTACATTAATATTCTACCTTTGGGCAAATTAAGATGAGAATTACAGCGACATGAGAATATAAAAATTATTTATGATAAAACTTTCAATAATTACTTGCATAATAATATTCTCTGGTGCAAACAACATATAATTTTAGGTTGATCTAATACATGTGGTATTCAGTGTCTCTATAAATATATTAATAGTGCTTTTCCTTTAAAATGGTGTTTTTGTGAACTTAAATTTGTACCAATAACTCTGAATCAATATTTTCTTCCTATATCATTTAATTATATTGCCTGAACATGTCAAACCCAAACTCTAGAACTGAAAATATTTAGCTCAGATAATAATATGCTCCTACTCATGATGACAGTTCTTTTTTTTTTTTTTTTGAGACGGAGTTTCGCTCTTGTTTCCCAGGCTGGAGTGCAATGGCACAATCTCGGCTCACCACAACCTCTGCCCCCTGGGTTCAGGCAATTCTCCTGCCTCAGCCTCCTGAGTAGCTGGGATTACAGGCACGCGGCACCATGCCCAGCTAATTTTTTTGTAATTTTTAGTAGAGACGGGGTTTCACCATGTTGACCAGGATGGTCTTGATCTGTTGACCTCGTGATCCACCCGCCTCGGCCTCCCAAAGTGCTGGGATTACAGGCTTAAGCCACCGTGCCCGGCCCGACAGTTCTTAAAATCCTCATTAAGCTGGACAATCTACCTAAAAGTTTTTTAAACAGTAAAGCAAATTTTTTTTAATTTTTTTAACCCTTTATTCTTTATGTTTTTCATCATATGTGATGAACTGTTTTTAATCCTCTTGCTCTTATAAAACTAGAAGTCAAATATACTATTCCTTTATCCAAGTCAAATAAAAATGAAATGTCAGATTAAATCAGATTAAAAATCAACTGTCAGTTTTATGGAAAAAAAATATATATGTATATATATATATATATATTTGAGACGGAGTCTTGCTATGTTGCCAGGCTGGAGTGCAGTGGTACAATCTTGGCTCACTGCAACCTCTGCCTCCTGAGTTCAAGCAATTCCCCTGCCTCAGCTTCCCGAATACCTTGGACTACAGGTGTGCTCCACCATGTCCAGCTAATTTTCTGTATTTTTAGTAGAGATGGGGTTTTACCATGTTGGCCAGGATGGTCTTGATCTCCTGACCTTGTGTTCCACCCACCTCAGCCTCCTAAAGTGCTGGGATTATAGGCGTGAGCCACTGTACCTGGCCTTATGAAAAATATTTTTAAAGAAAGAAAAACATTTAAATGAGTCTTCTGAAAAAGTTATGTATCCAAAAGGAGGTTTAAAAACATCTTAGGCAATCCTCATTGGTGTTAGGGCACATTAGAAGAGATAGAGACGTTTGCTTACTCAATGAAGTAGATCATCCCTGTGTCAGTGTAGGCCATTTCCCAGTTTTTGGGCAGTGGTTCCAGAGTCTCATCTCTCATCATATAATTTCTAAAGTCCATGGAGCTATTTGTTTGGTTATAACTCGGAACAGTCTTCATCCAGTCAGATGACTCAGAATGCCTCTCTCTGTTTTCTGCCATTGTTCAAAACAGAACAGTGTGAAAAGCAGGTAAAGTTACATTCTTCTTCCAACAGTATCTTTCATTTATAAAAAAATTCCAAATACACAAATATTGCAAATTTCTTGTCTATTATGTCCACATTCTGCTATAAATTTTAAAATACATATTCAACTCTTTTCCTCTACTAATTGACACCTCTGATGCTAGTCTGGGAAAGAAGCAAAAAACAACACTAGAATTAATTCAGTATAAATCTTAATAAGCCACAGCAGCTACAGCAAGCACTAATGCAGTCCTTTTATGCATCAGGTTCTATTTTAAGTGCTTTCTATATGCTAACTCATAATCATCACAGCAACCTTGTGAGTATCTATTATTACTATTCCTGTTTTATAGATTGAGAAAAATAAGGCACAGGGAGGTTAACTTAACTTAGTCAAAATTATACTGCCAATAAATAGCAAAGCCATTATTTGAATCTAAATGGTCTATGCTCTTATCTGCTATACTAAGCTGTCTTGTACACATTTAACACTGGCCTTTAAATAATAGTAATTAAAAAAATTACACTCTAATAGAGTTCCTGTTGTTAAATATAATTCTCTGTTTAGTAATATTAACATCCTTTTAGAGTCCCAAAGCCCATAAGGTAGGTAAAAATACTAAAATTTGGGTACTGTCTAGGGAGTTCACAATTCTTGTACTTAAAACTTGTTTCTAAAACTTAAACGATGCTATGATCACTATAACAACTTCAAATTCCAGGCAATGCCTCAGAATCAGAGAATCTGAGAGATCTTATATATCCTTAGATATCTTTCTCTATAGTATTTCAACTCCAACCATCCTTTATCTAACCATGCCCTACTACTTACTACCTTTCACTGTTCCTTATCTTCTACCCATTTCTCCATTGCCCTGCTAAGCCAAATTAAATTCCACTATGAGCCACTATAATTATTCCCTTTTAAATATTCCTGATTCCTTTTCCCTCACCTAACTTCATAATACTTGCCTGGGTAAATCATAACTCTGCTTAAATCCTACTCTCCACCTACTCCATATCAGTATATGCAGCTGAATACAGGCAATGCTGACAAGTTTACTTTAAATTCATGATCATTAACCTTCAGTGGGCATTTAATGATGCATAATGATCACAGTACATTTCTTTAGTCGATTCACTCTGACACTCTCCAAGACAATTATTTCATACTTTCTTTCTCCTTAAATCATCCACTACTTTTCCCTTATCTTTAATCTCATATGATGACCTTGTATCTTATTTCACTAAGAAAACAGAAGCAAGCAGAAGAAAACGTCCACAAACTCCCACCATCACATCTACACAGCAACTGTGCCCATTGACTCCACCATCTGTTACTGTGGAAGAACTGTCTGTACTCCTAGCTAGGGCTAACCCTCCAATTATAAATTATATTCCATTCTCTCTTGTTTACAGCAATTCTTTCACTCTCATTCCTGCATCACCAGTCTTCTCTATTAGATCATATCTATCCACATAAAAACATGTTCTCAGTTCTGCAAAACGAAAATAATTCTCTTTACCCTTTGGCAGCCAAACTATTTCTTTCCTCTTTACACCAAACCACTTGAAATAGTTGATATTTGCTATATCCGCTTCCACTCTTCCAGTTATCTCTGGACCTCACTCCAACAAGGCTTTTAAATACCTATCATTAAACTATTCTTATCAAGGTCATCAATAACCTCCACATTGCTAAATTCAATGATCATTTCTCAGTTCCATCCTACTTGAGTTAACAGCAACATGTGATTGCTTCTTCCTTGCACATTCAATAACCTCCTAACTGCTATCCCTATTTTGTCCATGTCCTCCTTTTGCCTATTTGCAATACAGTAATTAGAATAAGCCTGTTAAAAACTGTTGTACCATGTTATTCTTTGAATCAAAACCCACAATGGTTTCTCATCTTAGAATAAAAACCCAAATAATTACAATGACCTACAAGATCCTCTATGATATGCAGCATTCCTCCCTCCTCATACCCATCATTATCTGACTGATCTTATTGGTTACTATTCTATTCTGTTGACTTCCCTCACTCTGCTCCAACTACATAGAATGCACTGTTCACATTGCATCCAATCACTCTGGTTTCCTTGCTATTGCCTGAATATTCTAGGTATGCTCCCATCTCAGGGCATGTGCACCTCCAGTTCTGTTTGTCTAGAATGTTCTTCTCCCAAATATTTTTACTTTACTCACTTCTTTCAAGTCTTTTCTTCCACTCTGTCTAAAATTGCAAACCTTGGCCACCACATCTTACCACCTCCTGCTCTGCTTTATTTTTCTCTGTAGCACCATCTAACACACAATGTATATTATTCATTTAAGTTGGCCAGTTCTGTCTCTCCCATCAGAAAGTATAGTTCCTGATGAGTTTTTGTCTGTTTTGTTCACTGCTTTATTTCTAGCACTTAGAACAATGGCATTTAGTATTCTAGTAAGTGCTTACTATGCATTTGTTCAACAAATAAATGAATCAAACACATGATTTATTTTACATGCAGAAAAAATGATAGAACTTAAAAGTGCCTAATGTATAAACCAATCTGGAGAGGAGCTACACTGTTGGGAAATAACCATGTTGGGGAAAAGCAAAAGAAAGTATATGATCTATAATACTTTTCTTAACATAGTTCCAAGCGATTGAATAAAGGAGTTTGCTTAATAGCCAATGACTTGGGAAGATGTTCTTTATATAAAACCATTTCTTAGAAAAAAATTATAATTATTACATAGTATGTTATTGTACGTGGCCATTTTAGCATTCTTTTCGGTTATTTCTTCAGCAAGATATAAAATAATAAACATATAGGTGTACACAAATAAAGCTTTAGCTATTCTCTCCTCATTTCCACTCTCCCACAATTTTCTGATTTTTCAAAGCAGGGATTCAAAAGTGATACACAGGCCAGGCACGGTGGCTAACGCCTTGTCATCCTAGCAGTTTGGGAGGCTGAGGTAGGCGGATCACCAGAGGCAAGGAATTCGAGACCAGCCTGACCAACATGGTGAAAACCTGCCTCTACTAAAAACACAAAAATTATCCAGGCAGGTGGCAAATGCCGGTAACCCCAGCTACTCAAGAGGCTGAGACATGAGAATTGCTTGAGCCCGGGAGACAGAGATTAATTGCAGTGAGCCAAGATTGCACCACTGCACTCCAGCCTGAGCAACAGAGGGAGACTGTCTCAAAACAAACACCCAAAAGCAATACACAAAGCAATTGATTTGTTAACTATTCCAATTGATTAGTTAACTAACAATTGATTAGTTAACTAACTAAATCAATTAGTTAGTTAAATTTCCCCAACTGATTAGTTAACTAACAACTACAGTTAATACTTATTCAGAAGGTGAATTCTGTCTGTAGGCAGGTGCTTTGTATTTTTTCACTTAAGTGTTCTGCATATTTCCTATTACAAAGAAATATGTAATTCAATGTAAGTGTCCTATGGTATCTATACATAAGAGGTAGTATACGAACTGCCTGTCACATACCCTTGGACATTCTCCCTTTAAATATTAACATCAAGTGTATGTGACATCAGTTTAACAAGTCACTTACACGAAGCATAAACTATAGAGATTATAAACGAGTTTACCTCTAAAAGAACTGCAGTGATCACTGAAAGGCTCTGTATTAGGAAGTATAAAAAGAAAATTTTCTTTTCCCTTAAATCAAGAACATATAAATTCCTATATTGGGAAAGGTTCATGGTCTCCAATTCTGTTTAGCATTTTTATATGTTAGCAGACTTAATTTTGTGGGATAGCAAAGCTGATATCAACATTAAAAGGCTCCACGGTATAATGATTTCCCTTAGTAATTCCTATAAATGAGAAATGAATTCACCTAAACCTTTTAAAACCTGTTTTTAGTATTTACACTTGAATACATTGGGGTAATCCATTTAACATTAAACATACTATGTGGCATAACTACGTAAAAAGTTAGGACTATAAAACAGAACTCACACTCTGGAGTGGGAGATAATGAACGTATTAACTTAATAAACATAATATACATATAAAATCTTCATAACTGATGAAAGAAAAGATCAGGGTGCTTTGGGAAAATGATAAGGAAATGGGTTCTGCAAATTTGAGAATTTCAGTTCCTATTACATGCCAGGCATTGTTTTTGATGGAAGAAAAAGAACTGTGAACAAAAAAAGCAAAACTCCAGCCCCGTGAAATTTACATTCTAGTGTTCTGAATGGAATTTTTCCAATGAATACAACTGAATAAGCTCAGCTGTGATTCTATGGTTTCCTAGTTATACTCTCAGTTACAAGTCTAAGAACCCTCTAAGCAATCACCACATTAATTAGCACTACTCAAAAGAAGCAGATTCTTCACCACTGAATTTCTGTTGGCTTTACATTTAATGAAGAAAGTCATATTTGAAAATTTTCTATGAGTGAATCCAAAATTTAAATTCAAAATATTACACACAAACCTTTTAGATAATTTTTACCAGCATACTTTCAAGCCCTATTTACTTTGTTTAGGCTGAAGTCTACATTCTAAAACATCCATATATTGTTTACATCCTGTAAAGAAAGACATAGGCCAACAAGATTCCCATATTCCAACATCAGAGGCGAATCTCAAATATTTTAGACAGCAGGGTAATGGCATATATTTATTACTAATGATAGCTGATCATTAATTTATCCAAATTGGAACAACTCACTGTAGCTTACAGAAATACACTTTGCTCCACATACAACCTTTACAAATATATTAAAACCCCATCACTTGCTCTCCATATGCTTTGTAAAAAAGTTTAGTGCTTTTAATTCAACGTAATAGCAAAATCAATCTAGACGATCAGTTAGAAGTTATTCATCTATCCATGGCATGTGTATACCTATGTAACAATCTTATATGACCTGAACATGTACCCCAGAACTTAAAGTACAATTAAAAAAAAAAAGTTGTTCATCTTTACAAACCTGTGTTTCCACTGCCATTAATAGCTTCTTTGTCCTCATCTTCTTCCTCTTCAGGAAGAGAGCTATCCATTCTTTCCATCTTGCTGACAGATGTAGTTCGTTTTCTTTGAGATTCTGCATCAAACTCATTATCAAAGAGGACCTGATCAACTGGATCAGGCTGAAAAGGGCTGGGTTCTGCTGGAGGCTTGGGAGTTCCATAGAAGTTTCCTGAAATGAGTAAAATAGCAGCTGAAAGTACTAATGTTGAATTAAGAGTCAGAGCAATATAACCTAGCGTATGTATCTGCCCTGTTTTTCACAATAAAGATTTGAAAAATCTACCACAGGGCTGGGCATGGTGGCTCATGCCTGTAATCCCAGCACTTTGGGAGACCGAGGTAGGTGAATCATTTGAGGTCAGGAGGTCAGCTTGGCCAACATGGTGAAACCCATCTCTACTAAAAATACAAAAAATTAGCCAGGTGTGTCAAATCCCAGCTACTTGGGAGACTGAGGCAGGAAAATCACTTGAATCTGGGAGGCAGAGGTTGTAGGGAGCTGAATGCGCCACTGCACTCCAGCCTGGGCACAGAGCGAGACTCTACCTCAAAATAAAAAAAAAAAGAAAAAAAAAGAAATGAAAAAAAACTTTTAAATATCTACCATTGGCCAAAAGGGGGTACTCACCTTAGGATAAGAGGGAGCAGAAAGAGGGGGAAGAACTAATTTCTCAAGTGCTCTTCACCATATATTATTTAATATTTTAACACTATTTGTTTAAGGCCAGGAAGTTGACTGTATGTATGTAGATTATTCATTCCTAAAGGGATGCCTTACATGGGTTCTGAATTAGGACATAATTTGTGAATTTAAATTCACTGATGCTGTCATGTAAGACTAATTGGCATAAAAGGTGGGGGTAAATGAGGATAAAACTAACTGAAATAATCTTTTTCTGAGGTATAAGATAATAAACTATTTTGGTAAGATAAGAAAGTATGTGGGTAAAGGTTAAGCTAAGAACTAACCAGTTCGTATAAAAATGTAGGCTGTTAACATAATGAAACCCCATCTCTACTAAAAATACAAAAATTAGCTGGGCGTGGTGGCAAGTGCCTGTAGTCTCACCTACTCTGGAGGCTGAGGCTGTAGAATCACTTGAACCTAGGAGGCAGAGGTTGCAGTGAGCCCATATTGCGCCACTCCACTACAGCCCAGTGACAGAAAGAGACTTGGTCTTAAAAATAAATAAATAAAATAAAAAAGTAGATCAATTCAAGATGGTGCAGTAAGAACAACTCAGGATCGCAGCTCTCAGTGAACGCGCAGAGGGTGAGTCAAAGCCGCATTTCCAGAAGGATCTTTGTTGCCCACAGCACGGGGAAATTCCCAGGTGTAGGAGAGACACAGGACACAAGTGCAGCCGTTTTGGCTGTTGCGGCCGCTTTGGCTGGCGCCTCAGTGCAGCGGCACTCCACAACACTCTGCACAAAACACACTGGTCCTGGTGCCCTGCTAAACCGGCAATCTGAGATTTGGGAGGGCAGATTAGCATATCCATCTGATTAAACGGGACTTGGACAGTGAGCCAGACCAGGAAATTCCTGGGAAATGGCGTTTGAGCCAGTGCAGTGGGTCACTGCATGGGAAATCACACAGATCCCAGTGCCCTAATAGCGGGCAACTGAAACACCTGGGAGAGAGCCATCTGTTCAACTTTATAAAAAAAAAAAAAAAAAAAAAAGGTGCTCTGAGGCAGAAAGCCAGGCAAGCAGGCTCGGTGGGTTTCACCCCCACAGGGACAAACAAAATGGCAATTCGAAACACGCCGGGTAAAGAGTTTCACAGCGGGCACAGCTGAACCCAGGATGGTGCGGCTCGGTGAGGGAGGGGTGTCCACCATTACCGAGGCAATCCACCACTACTGAGGTACACTCCCATTGCTGACGCAGCCTGCCATTGCCGAGGCAACCCGCCATAACAGAGAGACTCCGCAGCAGGGCGGAGCCTTGTGGCAGCAGGGTGGAGCCCACAGTGAAACCCGCGGCTGCAAGGCAGAGCCCGCAGCAACAGGGCAGACCCCACATCAGCAGGGTGGAGCCTCGGCAGGCAAATAATGACTAGACTGCCTCCTAGCTGGGCAGGATAGTGCAACGGACACTCAAAAAGAAAGCCCCAACTCCCCGAGACAGAGCATCTGAGGAAAAAAGGGGGTTTTAAGAGTTCTGCTGCAGCAGACATAAACGTAGCAGCCTAACAGCCCTGAATGAACAATGGAGATCACTGCTCAGCACTTGAGCTCCTATAAAGTACAGACCGTCTCCTCAAGCAGCTCCCTGACCCCTGTATATCCAGAGTCACCTCAAAAAGGACTGATAAGACTGACATTAGACGGGCATCATTCTGGGACAAAGATAGCAGAAGAAGAAACTGGTAGCATCTCTCACTGTTCTGCAGCTGCTACAGGTATACTCCAGACAAGTAGGGCCTGGAGTGGACCTCAGCAGTCATACAGCGGAGGGGCTAGACTGGTAGAAGGAAAACTAAGCAACAGAAATACCTCATCATCAACAATCTGGGCGTCCACTCAGAGACCCAATCGAAAAGTCAGCAACCACTCAGACGACAGGTGGATAAATCCACAAAGATGGGAAGAAACCAGCGCAAAAAGGAGGAAAACACCTGAAACCAGAACACCTCGCCTCCTACAAAGGACCAAAACTCCTCACCAGCAAGGGAACAAAGCTGGACGGAGAATGTCTGTAACAAAATGACGAAATCAGACTTCAGAAGGTGGGTAATGAGAAACTTCTGTGAGCTAAAAGAACATGTACTAAATCAATGCAAAGAAACTAAGAACCTTGAAAAAAGATTCACGGAAAGGATAACAAGAATGGATAACTTAGAGAGGAATATGAATGAATTGAAGGAGCTGAAAAACACAATATGAGAACTTTGCAAAGCATGCACAAGTTTCAACAGCCGAATTTACCAAGCAGAAGAGAGAATATCAGAAGTTGAAGATCAACTCAATGAAATAAAACAAGAAGCCAAGATTAGAGAAAAAAGCGCAAAAAGGAATGAACAAAGTCTCCAAGAAATGTGGGATTATGTAAAGAGACCTAACCAACGTTTCATAGGTGTACCAGAATGTGATGAAGAGAATGAATTCAAGCTGGAAAATACTCTTCAGGATATTATCCAGGAAAATTTCCCCAACCTAGCAAGACACGCCAACACTCAAATCCAGGAAATACAGAGAACACCACAAAGATACTCCGCAAGAAGAGCAACCCCAAGGCACATAATAGTCAGATTCACCAGGGTTGAAATGAAGGAGAAAATACGAAGGGCAGCCAAAGAGAAAGGTCGGGTCACCCACAAAGGGAAGCCCATCAGACTCACAGCAGATCTCTCAGCAGAAACTCTACAAGCCAGAAGAGAGTGGGGGCCAATATTCAACATCCTTAAAGAAAAGAACTTTCAATCCAGAATTTCATATCCAGCCAAACTGAGCTTCATAAGCGAAGGAAAAATAAAATCCTTTGCGAACAAGCAAGTACTCAGAGATTTTGTCACCACCAGGCCTGCTTTACAAGAGCTCCTGAAAGAGGCACTACACATAGAAAGGAACAACCAGTACCAGCCATTCCAAAAACACACTAAATGCTAAAGAGCATCAACAAAATGAAGAATCTACATCAACTAATGGGCAAGACAGCCAGCTAGCATCAAAATGGTAGTATCAAATTCACACATAACCATATTTACCCTAAATGTAAATGGGCTAAATGCACCAATCAAAACACACAGACTGGCAAATTGGATATAAAAACAAAACCCATCAGTGTGCTGTATCCAGGAAACCCATCTCACATGCAACGATACACAATGGCTCAAAATAAAGGAATGGAGGAAGACTTAACAAGCAAATGGAGAGCAAAAAAAAAAAAAAGACAAGAGTTGCACTTCTCATCTCTGATAAAATAGACTTTAAAGCAACAAAGATTAAAAGAGACAAAGAAGGTCATTACATAATGGTAAAAGGATTGATACAACAAGAAGAGCTAACAATTCTAAACATATATGGACCCAATACAGGAGCACTCAGATATATAAGGCAAGTTCTTAATGACTTACAAAGAGACTTAGACTCCCACATAATAATAGTGGGAGACTTTAACACTCCACTGTCAATATTAGACAGATCAACCAGGTAGAAAATTAACAAGGATATCCAGGGCTTGAACTCAGACCTGGAACAAGCAAACCTGATAGACATTTACAGAACTCTCCACCCCAAATCCACAGAATATACATTCTTGTCAGCACCACATCACACCCACTCTAAAACTTACCACATAATTGGAAGTAAATCACTCCTCAGCAAATGCAAAAGGACAGAAATCATAACAAACAGTCTCTCAGACCATAGTGCAATCAAGTTAGAACTCAGAATTCAGAAACCAAACCAGAACCGCACAGCTTCATGGAAACTGAACAAGTGGCTCTTGAATGTTGACTGGATAAACAATGAAATGAAGGCAGAAATAAAGAAGTTCTTTGAAACCAACGAGAACGAAGACACAACATACCAGAATCTCTGGGACACATTTAAGCAGTCTCTAGAGGAAAATATATAGCAATAAGAGCCCATATGAGAAGAGTGGAGAGATCCAAAACTGACACCCTATCGTCAAAATTGAAAGAGCTAGAGAAGCAAGATCAAAAAAACTCAAAACCTAGCAGAAGACAAGAATTAACTAAGATCAGAGCTGAACTGAAGGAGATAGAGACACGAAAAACCCTTCAAAAAATCAATAAATCCAAGAGCTGGTTTTTTGAAAAGATCAACAAAATAGACCACTAGCCAGACTGATAAAAAAGAAAAGAGAGAACGACCAAATAGATGCAGTAAAAAACGATAAAGGGGAAATCACCACAGATTCCACAGAAATTCAAACCATCATCAGAGAATATTACAAACAACTCTATGCACATAAACTAGTAAGCCTGGAAGAAATGGATAAATTCCTGGACTCCTGTGTCCTCCCAAGACTAAACCAGGAGGAAGCCGAAACTATGAATAGACCAATAACAAGGTCTGAAGTTGAGGCAGCAATTAAGAGCCTACCACACTAAAAAAGTCCAGGTCCAGAAGGGTTCACAGCTGAATTCTACCAGACACACAAAGAGGAGCTGGTACCATTCCTTCTGAAACTATTCCA